ACTTAATGAAACGAAGATTATTTGAGAATATTTATATATTATAAACAATGCTATCTACTGAGGTGACATGCAACTAGATAAACGTGCACTGATAACAATGCAATTCAAACAAATGAGTTAATATTACATTTTGTCCACTATAGGAACACTAAAAATGCAGCTATTGAGATTCTAATGGACTTTTAATAATTGGGAAAGAAGAATGTAGATTAATTTGACCCATCTAATAGTTCTAGTGTTAAAAACTCTATTAGACCTTTACACTCCACTAGTTTTCTGCCAAAAATACTCAACACACTTTCCAATGAAATATAATCAACATTTCTTGAAACTAACTTAACCATAAATCGTGCATAAATTAACCTATTGCGCACTTTTAGTTCGAAAGTCATACCTAGAAACGCAATTTTTTTGAATTGTTTAATTTTACATGTTCAGGTCATGAAAAAATCATACACAAGATCAACTTACATATTATCTAGACTGTTACGGGATTTTTGGTCAATGTATTACTGAAGAATAAACAAATAAATGCATTATTACAGTCCGTACTAATACTGTTTCTTCTTTTATTAATGAAAGTATGCAGAACAACTATAACAGTAATTTTTCTATACATCGTGAAAAAATGGCCGGCTATAGCTGTCGTTTACAGCCATGGGTTAACACGTTGACTGCCACGGTAGTCACCGATGACCGAAGTTTCCAAATCATTTAAGAACAATTACAGTAAGAAAATTCTCATATGTCAATTGAAAATATTTAGTAATATAAGTAACTAAATAATAATACAATATGAGTAGTGCCATGCCAAATCATTAATAATTATTTCTAACATCATTTGCCTTCGTTACGAAAGAATAACTATTATTACACGAAACGTTCGAAGTTATCGTGGCAGTCAACGTATTAAAGGAAAAGGCTGTTTTATTTGAATATTTCACGTATCGAAGCATCACACAAAAGTTAACATTAAATATTGTGGGAATAGATGTCTTTGAGTGTGAAAATAGATATATCGATGAGTGATGAATGCGTGTGCAATAGATGAATGACGCGACTGTGTGTGTGAGCGCGTTTTGAATGAATGTTGAAAGCATTGGAATATTCTAGACTAAATTGACTTTCTCTATATTGATTTTTATGTTAATAATGTTCGTTTTTTATGAATCTAGAATATTCCAAATATCCGCGAAGTTAATGCATGGCAATGAAAGAATGTTCTAGAAAGTGTGCGAGTGAGACAAGAGCATCTGAGTGTATAAATAGTGTGTGCGTTGTTTGATTTGTTGATTGTTTTATTGTGAGTAGTCATGACATAATTATACTGTTTCAAATGTAGGTATTTAGATATAAAAAACCATTGTGCGAGCCTACCCTAGCAGCAATAAAGCCCAGGGACCCATTGCTTGTCGTTTTTAGTTAATCCGTGGATTGAGCTCTTGGTAGGCAATAGCTACGAATTTTACATCTGCATGTAATTTAAAGTCGAGGCGATCCTTTGGGCTATTGCTGCTATGGTCGTCAGAAATTTCCGAGTCTCCGGCTAACGGATACAACCGACAGACCACTGGCGGGGAAGTAGAGTTTTCCCAATTTTTGGGAAAAACCAATTCTAACCACGCGTCCGTCACTCCCCCGCTACTAGCGGAGAGATATATATTGTACGCCGACCAACCGGCATTATTCATTGTACATTTAGAAATTGAAAATATTAGATTGAGAAACCGTAGACTGTGTCACTTCTTTCGCGCTCCCCAAAATACATCCTCCGAATCCCCAACGCCCCGGGAATCGTTTTTCCTTCCTACACAAATAAAATTCTCTTTCTCCTAAAATATTATATTTCATAATTTTTCCCTATGAAATCGTGCGGCAACGTGTTAATAATGCCGATAACTAACTAACTACATAACATTGTTCGCGTGGAACACGATGGAGTCCTGTCTCTCCTTCGCTCCGCGAATTTTACGCTCGGGGAGTTTACGGTTTTCATCGCGGTTTATTTTCTTTCTCCCGTCGACGTTAATGGACAGATCGCAAAGAAAGCGGAGGAGGCAGCCGCGCGTAGTTTATATTTTTGTAAACGGAGTTTGTTTCGGTTGCAATTAACCCGGCAACGCGGGTAACGCGATATTGTACGTAGCTCGTTGTCTGTATTCGAATGTCGCACTTAACGCTTTATTTACCGGTGGATGTTGGGAATCCTTTTCTTGCAGCTGCTAACCCCTTGCCCTTTGATTTATTTCTTAATGATCGATACCACTATTACTTCATCGTTAGTGATTTATTAAGAACACAAGAAATTTTAATGCTTGTTCTATGTCTACGTTTACTCGAAAGGTTAACGATTGATAATGGAAAAGTAATGTCATTTACATTTCAGAAGAATTGACACTAGAACTACCAAGCACTTGAACTGACTATTCTAAATTTCTTTATAGAACTTCGAAATGTGTATTTATTAAGATTTCAGTTGGATTATATTTCAGTGTAAGTATCGCTAAGTCAACTTATTTAACGATTTCTCACAGAAGCACCTGTACTTTTTCAATAATCGTAACAGAAGAAATCAGTAATGGGTGATTTTGACTCACCTGGTAGTTCTAGTGTTAATAACACTTATATTTCTTAAATTCAGTTGAAAATCTTCGTCACGAGTCTGACACGATATTTGATATTTAACATGTTGAACGTCGCGCGACTTCATAGAGCAAACTACACAAAATGAGAAAAATGTGATATTAAATCATTTGATTGAATTGAATTATTAGTATTGTACATTCATCTAGCTGAATGATACCGCAATTGGGTAGAATTATTTGTAATATAGAAATATTTCAAATAATTATCATTTAATTGAGTAACAGTAATTCGATCTGGTTTGAGGACTTCGTGACCCCATGCCATTCAACGTTTATATTAAACTGTGCATAATGCATCAATACGTGAAATATTGAAATAAAATAATTCTCCTCGATTTCCGTGCGATTCGTCAAGTTAGCGTCAGAAAATATCCTTTGCATCTCATTAGAAAATTTTGAGTATTTCTATTAGAATGCTTCTGGAGTACAAAATATTAATTACCGAGACTGTTGAATAGACTTTCCATGGGTATTCATAATATAAATGGTTAAATTGATTATAATGAAATTTTTCAAACTTCTAACCGATAGTAATATAGATATCTATATTCTCTGAAGCTTTAGATTAATTTATAATTACTCGATCTGCAAATGGTTTCCTATAATAAATGTCCGATCATCCATCAAATCTTATTTCATTCGCCAATTAATGATCGAAGACTAAAAATAGTAGCTCACTCGTTCCGTCAGCTAGGTTGAACATTTCCAGAACAGCGGATTAAATAGATTTCACGTGTACAGAAATAGATGATCCATTTTTCAGTGTCGCTTAGCGTAAAAGTGGATCGCATCGCGGACCCATTCGTCGATTAATAAAAAGGCAGGTAGTGTACGGATACGGGATCTATTTCCACTATCATCTCCCACCGACATTTCTATATTTGTCCAGCACGAATCAATTATGCGCGCCCATTGTTAAAAATACCTTCAAGCATCCCGCGTGTCAACTTCCACCGTTCGTTTCATGTATTATTCCCGCGAATTCGCCGCGAAAACTGTTTCGAGCCCGCCCGATCGACCGGTTCGAGGACTATTCAACTATGGGAGACGTTTCTCGGTGGTTTCACGGTGACGTTGGAGTTTCTCGCGATTAGTATACCACGCCGATGCTGAAATATCAGCGTAATTCACCGTCCCGGAATCGTAAAAAGAGAGAAATTGTTTCCGTCTTTTCCCGAGTTTCACCGTTGACGTGATTCTGAAATGACAAAATGCCACCGGAAACTATGATAGACGCCGACGCTTTCTCTGGATCCGCGTGATACAGTTTTCTCCTGGGTCGGACGGGCTTCGAATTGCTTCTAATAAATATTTATCCGGGACAGTTGTCTTGCCGAATGGATTTAGTTCGAATGGATTTGGTTCGATATACTCGAGTGAATTCTTCGCAGGTGGATAGTTTATTTCGGGGATTATGGGATTATCACGATTCTTCGTGTTAGGTTAGTTTGTTTATTTATTTGAAAAAGAACTGATTGTTGATTAGTGAAATTGGTTTAATGTGCATTTCTTTGTAATAGGCAGGCTTGGATTCGAGAGTGAGAGAAAAATAATTTTGAAAGTCAGCTTCGATATAGTCGAGTGAATTCTTGGCACGTGGGTAGTTTACGTGGGTGATTATTGGGTTATTATAGTTCGTGTAATGTTAGTTAGTTTATTTATTTGAAAAATAACTAACTGTTGATTGGTGAAATTGATTTAATGTGTATTTCTTTGTAACAGGCAGATTTCGATTCAGGAGTGAGAGGAAAATGAGTTTGAAAGTCAGTGCGTATAGAAAGAATGATGAAGTTCTTGATGTATAATTATTAATGTTTACACAATGATATGGAATGCGATCAAGATAATAATAACAAACCATAACAAACCTTGACAACTAATAGAACCAAAAGATACATTTCTAATTAATTCCTAAATCGAATTATTCAAAATTGATTCAACGTATATTTCTAACAGGCAAACTTAGAGATCATTCATTTTGAGAGAAAAATAATTTCGAAAATCAGTACCTATAGAAAGAATGATGAAATTCTTGTTGCAAAAATGTTATTATTAACTCAATGATTCATGAAACTATCATAATAATAACGAAGCATAATAAGGAATAAAACCAAAAAATATATTTTTAGTGAATTCTTAAATCGAATTATCCATTGAAATATTAACAACTCGTTACGAATAATATCCTTCGTTCTCGTAATCCAAAGCATACTTTGCGTACCGACGTAATACCAACGAAGTGTAACTCACTGACAAAAGCGATGATGTCCATTTCTCGCTGTCCACGTGCGCACAATTCTCGACATGACGGTGCCACAGGTTTTTCTTAACGATCCACCGTATCTTCTGTTGCAGAACACAAGTTGCGTAAATGATCCCATGGTCTGTCACAATGCGGCCGACACTTCCACTCAATTGTAAGTATTACATGTACTCTACAATAAATTGTTAAAAAGTTCTTCGTTCTTCAATGAGAATTCATTTTCGGTCTGAACGGAAAATTCAGCGTGGGTCGTATACGACCCACACTTTTACAATTCAATAAAATTAAATAAACGCAGTATACATGATATTACGATGCCCATATTTGAGTCTGCAATAAATTTGTGAAAAGATTTTGGTTTTTTAATGAAAATTCATTTTGGATCCGAACGGAAAGTTCAGCATGGGTCGTATGCGACTTTATCACCAATTAAACTTGTTAAAGTACGGCAAGGGGTTAATTAGATGAATTCAATGCTCTCTCACCTGTGTCTGTTGCCAATGCCTCAGGTGTCCTCGCGATGGGGCTTTTTACCTGCATCGGCGCGATCACCGTATCGATCGACCGTTCTGATAATAAACCCGTAAGTACAGCGACAATCTAACAGAATTATTACCGATCGAACTTTCCTCGATATGTACAGCCGATCGCCTGTCTAACGTTACACTGGGAAAAAAAACGTTATCGTTGTTCTCGATAATGCGGGACATTGAAACTTCGCTATCGACGAACGGAAGTTTTCGAAAATATTTTCGAACGATGTATAATAGAACACGCTGGTGAAAGAAATTAAAAGTTTTACGGTAGAAACTGTCTCGCGTCATCGAAAACAACGATCCTCATTACGTCCATGCACTCATTACCTGGAGTTTAACCTAGACCATGGATTTTTCGAGGAATTATTTCGAAGAATTGCAATTCAACGAGTACTTATTTACCTCATTAGCGCTTTTAATAGTCTCCAAGTAAACTAAAGAGCTAATTAAGATCCGTGTAAGTATCATTATCCTCAGTAATCTACATTCATAGCATATTTCTCTGTACAAACCGCGATAAAACAAATATTAGAACACGCTTTCATAAATACCCGTACATCAAATTCACCGGAGTTCGTTACTAAACTAGAAATCCCGTAAAAATCCATGCTCCGATCAAATTACCTTGAGCAATTCATTATCAAAATAAGAATAACTCATGAAACTCTCCATCGTAATCCAAGGTGTCGGAAGAGCATTCAAACCCACGATCTCCACTTGAACTCGAAACAGAGCTCAACTCGTGATCCCGTCACCGTAAAAATCCATGGATCCCAGATCCCATTGAAATCGAATCTCCGCTTTGCCATCCACCCGAGTAAATGGAATCCTTGAATCCAGCGATCTCGCGGACTGTCGTTAAACTGTGTTCAACTGTACAAGTCCAACGTTTCAGCCGCCGACGCGATCGTCGATGATCGCGAACGGGTGGAGGCCTCTGACGAACGCTTACGAGGAGACGATCGGGACGAACGTCTCGCCGTCGAGCAGCCTCGAACGGAACGCGCCGTTGCATCCGGTGTTAGGCAAGTTCCAAGAGCACATGGCTGCCTCGGAGAAGCTGAAGCCGCAACGAAAGACGAAGCCGAATCACCACGACTACAGCCCGCCCAGCATCCTCGGCAGCTTCACAGTTTTCGGCCACGCGGCAGCGAAAGCGCGCGGAGAGGCCCAAGCGCACAATCATCCCATGAAGCACGCAGCCTCCGAAACTCGGGAGTACACGTTCCTGATCCCTCCGCCGAAGGACGCCTACAGGTTCGACCTGGATCCTCACAGGAAGCCGATTCTAAGAGACAACTCAGCTTACCTGAGGCAGCCTCAGTTCGGCCCCCAGAATGTCCACCAGCAGCCGGACCCCATAAAAGCTGCTACTTACTTCATCAAAGGCTACACTTCCACGACGAACTCTCCTTCCTCGACGCCTACGAAGAATAGACCCTTCCCGGAAATCTACATGCCCCCTTTGCTGCAGCCTCCTAGGTACCAGCAGTCCAAGCCTTTCGAGTCTCTGAAGGTGAACAACAACGCCAAGCTATACTTCCAGCCGCCTGGCACGGCGCCGGCGAACGAGTTCGGCAAGGAGAAGAGGATGCCCGAGCACGAGCACCGAGGGAACTACGACAAATACCCCGGACAGGTGCACAACGAGCAGCTCATCAGTCCAGCGAGCACCGGGAACTTCTTCAGCCAAGTGAACCACCCCTCGCACTCCTACAAAACCTCCTACGAGAGGGACCCCGCGTTCCTAGTTCACGAGAGTCACGAGATCAGCTATATCACGCCACCCAGCGTCTACAACACATACAACTTCAGACCGTCCCTGCCCTACGAGACGCTTCTGCCTCCTGACGTCTATGAATCTTCTACTCCAGCGCCTACCACTCCCAGAGGCCAGGATTCGAACAAGTACCAGCAGAACGGTGATCACCAGGACTACAACAGACCCAGTCACTCGACCAAGCAATCGGAGGAGCAGTCTTCTCACGAGGTGCTGCCCACGTCAGGTGTCGCTAACACGTACTACGTGTCAGAGCACCAGGACCTGACGCCGCCTCCTTCAGCTTGGCCAGCGCCAAAGAGCAAGTACACGTCGGATATCAATGAAGTGCTACCTAGAGTGAACCCTGCTACCAAGTTCCATCAGGAAGGGGGCGGGTCGAATCAGGTCCCGCAGGTGCCGAAGGTGTTGTTCGTGAGTCCTCAAGCGGTGCAGCCTCAGTACCAGAGCTCCGTGCTGCCGATCGACGTCAGGCCGCAGACCACGCAGCCGGAGTACGAAACGCCCGAGAGTATTTCGTTGAAACACTTCAACGAGCAGCAGTACCTGATCCAGCAGCAGCTGCTGCAGAGAGACAGGCAGAGGCTCGCGGAACAGGAGCGGCAGCAGCAGCTCGAGATCGAGCAGCAGCAGCAGGAGGAGCTGAAAAAGAGGCAGGAAGAGCTGAGGCAGCTGCTGCAGCAGCAGAAGGAGGACGAGGAGGCGAGATTGGCCGTCGAGTCCGCGAAGAATCAATCCGACCAGCTCGCCAAGGTTGTCGACGACCAGTTGAATTTCAACGTGCAATTGCCCGAGTACGAGATCCCGAAGGTCACCACCGACGCGGTCGCTGCGATCACCGAGTTTAGCGAGATTGGAGGACTGCCAAGGGTTCAGCAATCACAGGTAACTTTTTATACGCTGGATCGCAGGCGGTTACTGCCGTAGATCCTGAGAAGTTTTATTGAATTTGGGGTTCTATACGCTTTTTGGTGCTTCTGGCTATGGCGTCGATTTAACCGTAGATGACTATACTTAAATCGGTGGTATTCTGTGACGAAACGGTTGACCCGTGGACTGAAGGTTAATAACATATGTTTTCTGTTTGTTGCAAAGAAAGTAGCATAGTTTAATACGTTGAATACCATGTTACCAGTGACTCCCGATCAGATCGAATTACTATAGTTCACTGAATTAAACGATAATTATTTTAAAACGTTTCTATATTATAAATGATGCTACCTAATGCGGTGACATTCAGATAGATAACGCACAATGATAATAATATAATTCAATCGAATAATTTAATATTATATTGTTTCTATTTTGTGTATTTTGCTCTATGAAATCGTGCAGCATTCAACGTGTTAAGATATATGTTATTACTATGGAATTAAAGAGAAGAGCGTTCGAAAGTAACGTTTCAAACATACTTGTGCTGAATTTAAATTCATGGAAGTGGAGAAGATAGATTAAGTTAGATGTGAATCTGAGTATTTATCAGATATGATCTGAATATTTAGTTATCTATGATTAATGGAATGTTTAAATTAGTTTGATACGTTTCCATGGGAATATTTAACACGTTGCTCGTGGTCGTTGAAGGATGTTTAAGAATTTACTTGTGACTATATTGAATCTCGTGGAAGTTATGATCTGCAGACAAAATTCAGATATACTATCGTTCAGTTCATAAGTCTGTTTCGGTAGTTTACAGAGTTAAATGTACGTAACAAATAAAACCAGTAACGAGGACTGTAAATTTGCTTTTCGTGTCTAAATTCGCTGAGTGCACCATGGTGAATGTATGAAACGGTCTGTACATTATATCGAACAATTGTTTGCCGCACGACGTCAATGCTTGCTCGTAAATATACAGTGTCCTCTGGGAAGTGAATGGGAAACACGCGATAAAAAATATCGCACAGAATTTCCACTGAAATCGCGAGTGCATGAATAGTCACACTGTTTCTCTTTCCAAGAGAACGCTGGTAATAAGAATCGGTGCAAAAGATCGTTCACCTGGCAAGATAAAGACAGAATATTCAAAGAAAGGAACTGTAAAACGAGGAATAAAACACTAGAAAGTATTAAGGCATGATATCAACGACAGGAAATATTAATAGCTTCCCATTTAAGTGATACTACTGCCGATCACCGACATCCAGGAAATATTTAGCATTTCATATTGAAATTTGATGTTGAAATATCACGATATTAATTGTTGAATGAACTAATTACACAAATTATGGTTTCTGATGCGAATAGAATTTTTTATTAAGTAAATTATAGAGATTGTACTTTGATGGAGACTTGCTACTTTCGTTGTTGGCTATTGATATGTTGACTATATTGACTATATTGATTCTTAATAAAAAGAGGAATAAACAAGAAGATAGTTAAAATGATAGGAACTATCAACGTATGAAAGTGACAGTGGAAAATACTAACAACTCTCTAGTTTAACACTAGAACTACCAGATGGGTCAGAATGACCCATTCCGAAATTCTTTTCCAATTATTGGAAAAAATAGATCCTTCACTAAGAAATTTTTGAAGAAATTGTTTTAGTAATACGCAAACCAAGTTTTGAAATCTCGATAGATGCACTCTTGGAGTTTGTATAGGAAACTTTCGGAAAGTCAACTTGACTGCTTGGTAGTTATAGTGTTAATACTTCTGATTCCAATTAAAATACTAATCCTGATTAACCCTGGCATCGGTAGCATATTCGGTACAAATAGGGACTGTAGTTCCTAAAAGCGAATCCTAGGTTTACTTTAGAAACCAGAGTATTGCTTTCAAAACTGCAGTATTGATTTGAAAACTGCAATATCGCTCTGGGAACTACAGTATTATCTTCGGGGTCACAGCATTGCTTTGTGAATCTGCTGTATTGTCTTGAAAACTGCAACTGACGATTACTGGGTTGGGGAATAAGTTAATGTCGTTTATTTGAAATTCGGAATTTTGAACTTGATTTTACGTGCCAGTCTAGAGCGAAATCTTTCCTCTATACGTTAATAATTTTAGTTTAAATCATTAAAACGGAATGTTAACCCTTTGCACTCGGAAGTTCCTCACTAGAAATGTTTAACATTTTTTGACGAGGCAAAGACGATATTCCTTGAAACTAATTCGAAGGGAAATCACGAGTACATTAAGGAACAAACCTATTTTATTGCAATATTTCACGTATCAAGGCATTATACAAAGTTCAACATTAAAAATCAGATTTTATAGTTTTATCAAAGTCAAATCAAGTGGTGACCGAGAGTTGCCTTCCGAGTACAAAGGTTTCAGTTGGAAAAAACGAGCATTCTAAAACGAAACAAACATTAATCAGCACTGAAATTCAAGGATACTAGAACATAAAGAAAGTATTTCGCTTTCGGACGAGATATGAGTCGCTCAGAAGCCAAGGAGGTTAAGTCCAGAGAACAAAAATTGAGAAAATCGATGTCTTGACTTCTGAAATGAATACACAACATACTTAGAAGCTATAAAAGGAGGGGTCGACCTAGAAACAACGAAGAAACGAGTAAATCCTTTAACAGCTAAAAAGAATATTATTTATTGCATTTAAATATACAAAAATCAGAAAATATAAAAAAATCGACTTAACTACATTGACTTCCAAGCGATTCAATTATTACACAGCATATTCAAAGGCTATAAAAAGAAAGGCTTCTTAACCTATAAAAAACAAAGAGTGAACCCTTCAAAAACTACACAAAATATTATTTACACCATTAAAATTTACAAAAATTCGGAAATATCAAAAAATCGACTTAACCACATAGGATTCCGAGCGACTTAATTATTATACAACATATTCAGAAGACATAAGAAGAGATTTCCTAGAAAACGAAGAAACGAGTAAACTCTCTAACAACTAGAAGAAACATTATTCCAATAATATTAACAAACTTCCGGAAATAAAAAATCAACTCAACCGCATCTTAAAACATCCATTCGAAACGACTCACATAACACTACCCAAAGTATCCTTCTCACGACGTTCCAATTTAAAAGTTCACCAACCTCGGAAACTACCCCGACCAGTACAAAAGATATATTAAACACCTGCCGCGTGTTTCTGGCGCAGGTGACGCAGCCCGACTACTCGTTTTCGGAGAGCCCGGTCGGCCAGAGTCACCGCTACCAGGATCAATTGAAGAGTCAGCACGAACAGACGAGTCCGCGCGAGCCGCAGACGGACTCCCGTCCGCAGCAGCGTCCGCACAAGTTGCGCGATCAATATAGACGAAGGAAACCGACGACCACCGTGTCGTACGAGCCGACGCCGACGGAGGCGCCGGTCCAAGTCCCGGAAACCGCGGTGCCCGTCACGCTGCACGTCGAGGAGGTGCCGTTGCAGACGACCGCGCCGCCGGAAATAGCGACCGTGCCAGTGGCGACCACTCAGAAGCCCAGGACCAGGAGACCCGGCTCGCCGCTGCGCCGGCGACGGCCGACGACCACAACCCCGGAGCCAATTACGTCGGCCGACGAGTTTTTCAAGTACGACAGACAGGAGGAGGTCCAGCAGCAGCTGGACGCTTCCCGGCGGCGACGAGTGAAGCCGACGCAGTCGAGCCAGCGCGAGGAGGCCGTGACGGAGAAAAAAGCCAATATCAGAAAACGACCTGGCCACCGCAACCGGGTGAACCCCGGGGAACCTTTCGAGGCGGAGATCGTCACAGAGATCGTGCACACACCGCAAGTGAGCACTTACAAGTCGCAGACGGAATCGGTGCCAGGCTACAACGAGTACAATCAGTACGTGACGAGCGAGCCGGTTAATCAGTTCACTTCCAGCCAGCCCAGCAATCCGTTCTCCACCAGCCAACCGAATCTGTTTATCACCGGGCAGCCGGTTAATCAGCTCGTGACGAGCCAGCCGAACGTTCAGCAGTACGATTATACTTCCCAGAGGTTCGGCTCCGGCGACGAGCAGCGAGAGTCTGTCACCGAGACGGTCCCCTCGGAGTACCTCACTGACGTCACTAGGACTAGAACCGAGGATGCGCCTGGCAACGAGAACTACAATGTCCAGGACGCCAACGTGGCTACTAATATTCCTCTGGAAGGTCTGTTCGTGAAAACGGAAGGCAGCTACTTCGACAAATCAGTGTCCACCAGCTCCGTCGGCAGCTCCAGCAGCGTCCCTCCTACGGTTCCGACCACTACAACTACCCAGCCGACGACCCAGGCGCCAGTGGTGAGCACTTCGACGGCTAGGTCTCACAAGATCAGACCGATGAGGTACGGTAATGCTACGAGGCCTCGGTTCAGCATCAAAGACTACAAGAGCCGCCTGGATTACAAGAGCAGGTTAGCTACCGTCTCCACGACCGAGGCTTCGGTGACTCCAACGAACACCAGGCAACGAGGGTCCAGTTACAAGACTCAAAGCCAGCAGCAGCCTGAAAGCAACAGGGAGACGACAGGCAGGTACAAGTACATGTCCAGGGCGAGCTACAGGACCACCTCGCCGAGTCCAGTGAAGGCTCAGGAGCAGGAGAACGTAGCAGAGGACGCGCCGTCGTCGACGACGGAGAGGAGCAACAGGTTCGTCCCTAAAAGGCGACCGATCAGCGGCAACGTCTACAGGAGCAGGGTGTCGGGCACCACCAGCAGCCCCAACAGGTTTGACACCGACAGCCAGGCGAAGCCAAGCACTGCTAGGCCTGAGAACGTCTTCTCGTCGTCGGTTAGGAGGCGACCGGTGATGAAGAGCAGGCTCCCGACACACAGGGACAGCTCGACGGCCACTTACCCCAGCAGAAGGGAGGAGGCGACGGAAATGGCTGCTGAGGAGACTAGCTTCTACTCGGCTGTCACCACTGTCGGCAGCACGCGGGTGGTAGCTAACGAGATTCCGGTGGAGAAGGAGGAAGCAAGTTCCACCAGCGAACCAGCGCGCTTGAGCAGCGCAGAGAAAAATGCGGATGAAAGTGAGACTGGACCTAGTTTCCACGAGGAATATGAAAAGCTGGTGGAACCGGTTCTCAGCAGCACGGCCAAAACTGAGAGCCAGCTGAAGGATACCGTTGTCAGTGAGACCACTACTGAGAAGATCGAAGCTACCACCGAAGTTAAGGAAAAGTCTGATGGCGATGAGTCTGCTACAAAGTTTGAGGTTAAGAATGATGAGGAGGAGCTGTTCGCCAAAGCGTCGCAGAGTGTTGCTGATTTGACCAGCTCCGCGTCCGCTTTGTATGACAAGCCGGGGATGTTTAAGGCTGTCTCGCCTGAGAGCAGAGTCGTCGCCTCGCACTTCAAGGTCCCAACCGACGAGCCCACTCTGCCTATCGAGGCGTTCTTCCAGGAGCTGTCGAAGAAAAGTTAAGGATGACAGTTGCGAGTGTTAGGTTGGATTAGGTGGAGTCGATGAGTGCTGGCAGTAATCTAGGGATCATTTATTTGAGTTTGATCGATTGTTTTTTTAGTTTCAATGGAAGAGTGTGGTTCTTGGATTTTGTGGTGTTTTTGTGAGGGGTATTTTAAACGACTGTTTAATTTAATGTTTCAAGTTATTTTGTAATTCTTCGAAGTTTCTGATTGACGTAGCGTTTGCTTCTCGTTGGTTACTGATTACTGCGGAATACGGTTTGAGAGTTTCTTCTAAATGATCCCAGGCTCGGCCGCTTCGCCGTGGATAAATGGGAACTCATCGTTCCATCGTCGAATCCCTGAGTTTCATTTACCGTTCCAGAGGATGAATACAAAGCCCCGTACTTAAGGGTTCTCTGTACTTTAATTTCCAAGAGGGTAGCTATGTAATGCTTAATATTTAATTTATACACGTTGCAGAAGGTCTCGGGAGAGAATGTTTGTACTACGGTTTCATTAGTTTCGGAATCACCGAATCGTCCGTTTAATATATTCGATATGTACATACATACGTTAATTGGAAAGTGGATCAACTAGAGAAGGAAACATACCAAAAATATGGAATCCTCGGAGAGCTGTTGTTTTAAATAGGAAACAACGGTTTCTCGAAGGGAAAAGGCAACAGACAGATATTCTTAGGCGAATCGTTTACGTTCTGTAATGATATTTATTCGTTTTTTTATCTAAATCGTCAATATTCGTCGCGAGTATTCGAATGAAACACAAGAGACTCGTTTAGAACAACAACGAAAGAAAATTCAAATTTATTGTCGTTCTGTCTCTAGACATAATCGACACGAATTATGCCATTAATTTATTTAAACCGCGCTGTTGTCTGAAGAATTGAAATTCCGTGTGAAGCGTCCATTGTCACGGCGAAGGACGCTTCGAGAGATACATGTACTGTCGGTTGCTGAGAACTTGGCACTCGTGACGTCATAGGGACGGAGACAGTCGCTCCGAGAAGTCCAATCGCGAGTCTGGAAACGGCTTTCCTCACTCTTTGTCGCGTGAACCGATCAGTGTGCGTAGGCCCCGCAGCGAATCATACGCCAGAATCGAAAATTCCTGCGAGGAAGACGTAAGCCTTCGAATTTGACCACTCAAATGAAAGTGTCAGGTTCCCTACAACGGACGGTACATGCGTATTTCGCGAAATGTAAATATTTAGAACGTTTGTATTAATCGATCCGAGTTAATAGGTGCTCGATGCCGAGTATTATTTAATTCCGTAATGGACGCATTGACATGTAAAGGAGGGTGCTCGAATTAACCACGATGGGACCATTGTTCGCAACAATCAAATCCTTCGATTAATTCTTTGTACACCGTTGCGCCGCCATGCTGAACGGCTTTATGCGCCGATAAGGGTTGTAATTACCGCTGCCGGTTAAAAGTAGGAAATCAAGCTTCACAGTTAACGAGGGCAGGGAATATTGTTTCGCGACAATTAAACGAAATTGAATCGGCAGCCGTGCAAAACATTCTGTCCAGCCTCGATGTATCGATTCTCTTGCGACTTCGCGCGATCGCCCGACTCATTATTCGCGTAAACGAGAATTTATTTATCAACGTATCATGCACTGACGACCTAATAAATAAGCTAATTACAAACGTCAACGAACAAATGTAGGAGAGGGAACATGGAAATCTGCATCGTGTTCAAAAGTTCGATAAAATCTTATCATATTTTTACTATGGAAATTCTATTCGATCTAACAAACGTTTGATCTTCAATGAACGTTCTGTTGCTTGGACGATTGACATTACGAGCGACGATTACCTGTTCTCCCATTAATAAATTAATCCTCCCATTGAATGGATCATTTGCATCGCCGTCATATCTGGGATAATCGCGTGTCACGCGTATCAATGGCCCATAAACAGTTAAACAACCAAGGTCGCAGACGATTCATCGCCACCATGATCCCATCAGTTCGTCTATCCAATATGTTAATGCGCCCGTAACACTAAAAGCAATCGATAAACACCGGCGTGCCGGTGATATTTATATACGTATAAACTGTAAATATATATACACGCAATAAATAAATAGAATAAGCGAAACCCGTTACCCTTTGATTTCCGGTAAATCGCCGGCACTACTGCCTGGAGGAACATTCTAGATACCATTGGAAACAGGATCGGAACATGGAAAGTAACGGGGTGAAACGCACAAGCAGACACGATATTAATATTCCAATTTGATTTACAATCCATTTAATATCGTTACGATAAACGGTTACATGCCTGTAGTCACGGGCGAGTAAAATACTAGTTTGAACGGTAAAATGCGATTTTTCTCTCTCCTTTCTCTTCTCGCGAGCAAATCGTTCGAGCCCCTTACTCGCGTTTCCTCTTTTTCAACCCTTTCTGTTTCTCCCGCTGTCAGGAAAATGGAAAATCGAACAACTTCAGATCAGAAGAGGACAAAATAGTACTTTACCCGGCTACGTTGTTTGTTTGTTTTGTTTCCTAGGTTCGAATAAGATTTCTTCCGTTCCCCTCTCGTCCGCTGATTACATTACATACGTGTTACATGTACGTGTATAGGCCTACGGAAATTACTTTGATTGTACCTAATTTAGAATTATGCACAGGCCATACATTACACACCTAATAATACTCGTAACAATGGTACTTCGTCCCCGTAAATTTTCTCGCGTCTCGCCTCAACCGCCATTTTGTCGCTTCGTAGTTCCTTGTCTCGTTAATATCGTGTACGTATCGTGTAAAACCCCATGTAATTGACAATTAGTTTAATGTGTTAACATCCTTTTTCTTCTTCTGTTTCTTTCTTCTTATTATTCTTCTTCTTCTTTCTCGCTTTCTTCATCTGCTTCTTATTTTTCTTCTTCATCTTCTTCTTCGTCTTCGTTTTCAGTCATTCAAGGTACAGTTGTACAATATACGGCATGTATACAGATATATACGTATATAAGCGAGGTATGCGTATATATTTGTGTACACAATAACAATATGTTAAACTATCGGAAGTAGGCACACGCATACCGAAAGTATTTACATTGCCCACTGGAGTCGGCGTGAGCAAGAAGTGGACGTTGCAGCTAAACTCTGTGTATGCACATCGATAAGAATCATTTGCTTGGGCGACTCGAACAGGGATCTGTTGCCTTGCTACTAATCCTCGATTATTTCAATGAAATTTTGTGAAACGATAAATTCTGTTTTGTATAACATATGTGTTCGCGTTTATAGCTGCTGTGGATATTCGGAGATTTATTGCGGAATTACAAAACTGTGGATAAAATTCCATAAAATGATTAATTTAATATTAATTTCAAACAGAATTGATTCTGTGATGTATTGAAATAATTCTAAGCAAATTATCTTTCTTACAGTTGATTGAATATCTACTGTTAGAATAAGAATTATTTTTGTTGTAAAATAAACGTAGACCAAACGTCGATGAATTTCACTGAAATGGCTGAGGACCAGAAGCTTCTTGCACAATAAAATTGAAACTTGAGATATTAATAAATTACCAGTTCAGAAATTTATTAATATTATGAGTTTCTAAGCTATTGTCCAAGAGGTTACAGATTTGAAGCTTTCCTTGTACACTATGGTCGAAGAAAGAATCGACTTATGATGGTGGAACTTATCAGTTATCCTCGACTACTCATATTGAAAAACTCAAACGTCATAATGTCATGTACTATATTTTAAATAGATAATCAGTTCTAATCAAATTTAATACTTTTTTAAATGCTGTGGTAATCAGCAAAGTAACATAGCTAAGTGTTTTCATATAAAAACTGTTTAACAATCTGTTAAATATAAATATGTTTCACGATCGTTACAGTAACAAATATCGATGGTCTTTGAGTTAAATGAAATCAGTAAGAGAAATGTAATTGTATTTTATAACAACGTTTTAATGAAGATATGTACCTGTTTAAGGTACTTTCTGGCATGCAAGGGTTAAAGGATGTGTTACTAGGCGGTGAAATAGAGAAGTGTGTGCGGAGTGCTTTATTTCCGGCAGTCTAAGCTCCATTCATTCAATAAGGTGCTCATTCATTATTCGTAGCTATTCAGTTACGTTTCTGCCTACAGCGCCGTGAATTTCTCGTGTTCACGAGAACACATGGAAGCAGAAATTCTTCGGAACATGACGCAGCTTGCTCATACTGAAACCTGTTGCGATACGTCGATCACCAAATGTCATAAAACTGTGTTTTAACTTCTCAATTTTGAAAATTTTATTTATTAACTTATTATTTATGAACCCTTTGCGAAGGAAGATTCTCTAAAGTATACAGAACCTTCTGCAGATTCTGCCAAATTAGATACTGAATGCTTATAATAGAGAATAAGGAAACTATGTATTCATTTCTTGTTGTTTGAATAATAAAATCATTTGTCTGCTATTTAGTATTACGAAAATGAAAGTTAGATCTCGACAAAATGTCGACATTCGTCAAAGGGTGAAAATATAATTTTAAAAGCTTTAAAAATTAAAAATTTAATTTCAAACATTTACTAATTAACTTTACTAAAAAGCTCTACTGATTAACTTATTACTTATCAAAATTTAGTCTTAAAAATTATCTTACTCATTCTTTAAAATCTCTGATTTAGGAGAAACGTTTATACAAAGTATAAACATATAATTTATAACATAGTTTATGACAACTCAATACTGGAAGCACGTATTGCAACTTGTATCGCAAAATTTTCTCGAAAAGACAAGACTGTCTCACTGATCCAATATACTGGCACACTGCATCGTTCTTGATCTATATCGCAAAATTTTCTTGAAATGATAAGACTTTCTCACTGATCCAATATGTTAGTACATTGCATGGTTCTTGATCTGTATCGCAAAATTTTCTTGAAAAGACGCTAAGACTTTTTCAGTAATCCGATATATTGGGAGATTTCATCGTCCTTGATCTATATCGCAAAATTGTCTTAAAAAGACGACAAGACTTTCTCACTAATCCAATATATTGGCACACTGCATCGTTCTGCGTCGTATGAACGCAGCTTAAGACTCGGGACACGCATCGGAACATGATCCTCTGTGTGTACACTACTTAAGGGGTAGAATGGCACACAGCCTTCCATCTTCTCGCGCGAGTAGAGCAATTAGAACAGGCTGTAATTCTCGGTAGACCTGCAGTGGGTAATTCTGGGAACAGGTATGTACATGAGCTGGCTTGTACTGAACGATTTTGTGGGAGGAGGTGTCGGGAGAAGGGAGGGGAAATGCGAGGACAACCCACAGAGAAATCGACACGTGATTAGGGACAGGATTTATGATTAGAAAGGGAAGGAATGTGATTTGATTGTAATGGATGTTTGAGTGAGGAGGGAGATACATGTAACCAGAGGAACAAGAAATTTAATCCTTGGTTTTCTTATCAAATTCAGATCAGGTAACATATTTTCGGTTGGAAAACATCATAAATATCACAATTGGTATTTAACAGGACTACCGAGTATTCAATTTGATTAATATGTAGTCCCTATGAAAATTGTAAGAATAGACTATTTTCAGTTTCTTCGGATATCAATTGTAGTATTCAAGTGAACATATTTATTTTCAAGATCATTTCGATAATTCAATGCCTTTAAGATATCAGTTATTACGAAACAAAAACATCGAAACCAGTTTGATTGGATTAAAACGTTGATTTCCAGGTAACAATAATTTTGTTCGATCTGGATAATTGAAGATTTTCATTGAAAGTGTCGTGCGTTTAGTGCGAAAGCCTCAACCATGGGATTATGGCGGGGTTAATGAACTTGCTTCAAGGCAATGGAAACTTCACAAGTCCTGGCTTATCCGTTGAACTAAATCTTTCATTATTATTTTCATAGGTATCATTAAAAATTTAAAGACACTCTGTCTTTCCCCTGTTTTAGTAGTTGTTACTGAAAATATCTCATATTATACATATATCTGCTGAACTAAGTATTCCAAATAAATAATAAATTGAAAGTAGTTATGAATCGTGAATCACATTTTTAAAGCACTAACAGCAGCGACAAATAATGAATATTTATCCATACAATAATACCTCCTTTTTTATTAAAAAGGATATAATTTCTAGTATCTAATTTAGCACCACGTTAAAAATTATTTATCACCTACAGCAATCGCCGATTTTCACTTGTGCGAAGTTGAAAACAGGAGACAAGCTCCTCCCATTTAATCAAGTAGTAGAAATAATCTCCTCCCATTTCAGCAAGCAGTGGGGATAAGCCCCTCCCATTTGAGCTAATAGTGGGAATAAGTTCCCCCCATTTAATCAAGTAGTGGGGATAAGCTCCACCCACCAAAGTAGTGGAAATTACGCATCGTTTCTTTCTTCGACTCAACAACAAGCGGGAAGAATCGAATCAACAGAAACAGTGCATTGTCGCGCACGAACGCATGCAATAAATAATTCTATCTTACTGTGCAAGCGTCAAAGAAGTTTCTTGAAACAAACGACAAACTTAATCGACCGAAACGAACGAAATTCAGTTTCAGTTTACCTTATCTTTACTCAATTAATCCGGAACGAATTCACCGATTAATTATCATCCATAATTGAATTATGGAGATCATAATTGAACTGTGAATTATAATTACAAGATTGATCATAATTATAATTCACCTAGTGAATATATTGGTCTACGAACGAATTGGTCCTTGCACGGTACTAGTGGGCGGGGTTCACGCCCACGGAAAAACTCGAAACTCCGATTCACTCGTCTACGGGGCGGCGTATACGCTTATCGACGCGCGACACAAATCGTTATCTCCGTTCGATAAAAAATATACATGTAATCGCGAGCGCAGTACGGACGTGAAAGCTCATTAGTTACACAATAGCGAACGTTAGAATATTAGAATTCTCGAAGCTCACTGGTCAGGCGTTAACCTCCTGTACGCAGCGATCTAGGGGAATGTAAAAAAATTATCATACATATTGTACAGTGTGGGGAACGAAAACCAGGAGTCGCCTGACGTTATCGCTAAATAGAAACGGCGGTGGTGCAGTGGCATAAACGGCTCGTTTTAATCGAGAAACTTCGCAATTA